TCTAATGCATTTCGAGTGCTAAGGTAGCTCTTACATAGAGGGTATGAAGCTCTGATGAGGTTCTCCATAGCATGGACAAGACAAATCTGAGGGTCCCGAGGTTAGCGTTCAAAGATGATATTAAAAAAAAGGATTTGCCGTGGAAAGACCCCAGTCCTGAATGAGTTGGTTGATTATCTTGCATTCTATTCGACTCTAAAGTCGGCCATTTCAGCTTAATGTTTTTTAGTCGTTTTTGTAGGAGTCGTTTCAAATGCAATTAGCATTGACATGCAATTATTGCTAAACATGTTATGCAGTCATGTTAACAAATATCGAGAAATTTGCATGAGTGAAAAGATGTATTATGTGAATCTTGCTATGAGATGTATAAAAAGAAAATAGAACGATCCCTGTAACTTTCCAAGAACTTTTTTTTTAGAAAAAGTGGACTGCTATAAATTTATTTTTGTTCAACTGCTTTGTCAATTCTCATATGAGTTGACTTCAGATTTTATCCAATTTAGTATAATCATGTTTCCTTTTCATCTGCTATAAATTTTTGTTTTCTTTTTTCTTCAGATTTTTTGTCTATTGATTTTTTTTTTTGCAATAAAAAGAGGTTGCTGGTTTTTGCTTCTGGACAAAAAAGGTCGAGGATTAATTCGTGGTACTTCTCATCTCTTATTAAGGCACTCTAAACTAATTTGGACGCTTTAATAAAACTTTGTAGTTAAACTATAAATAAGTTGAACTTTATATGAATATGTGGTGTTAATTATATGTATGGTTTTCATTGAGTTCTAGTAAAGTAGTTCATTTTGTCAGTTGGTTTATATTGAGTTCAAAGAGCATAGTCCGTAAATTTCATTTTACGTGTATGCCTATAAAGTAGTGGATGAATTTTTTTGAAGTCTATGGCACATAGTATTTAACAATATCATGTGCTTGCATCTATCTATCTATAATTTTGTTAATCCAATAAATAGATACAATGGATTCAAATAGAAATTCTCGGCAACATTGTTAGCCAATTTGTCGTCGAACGACCTTCCGGGCCATGATGTTAACAATTAATTATTGAGTTGGTATCGACCAATAATT